CTGTGTAAGCTACTACTGCAAGCTGCTGTGTAAGCTGCTACTATACCAGATATGGATAATCTTCTACTGAGAGTAATGTTTATCCATAACGGAGTACTGAAAGGATAAACTTATTGTACCCGGTAGGGATAATCTTCTACCGGGGTAATATTTATCCATAATGGAGTATCGAAAGGATAAACTTATTATACCTAGTATGGATAATCTTCTACGGGGGGTATTGTTTATCCATAACCGGGTACCGAAGTGATATGTTTCTTCAAGAGGCTTATTTCCAATAGAGTACTAAATAGATAAACATATTTACGGCGGAGTCCCATATGGATAAGTTTCTTCAGGAAGCTTGTTTACAATGGAGTAATAAATGAACATCCATAATATAATATATTTATAACAATGTACACATTTTATGCTTGGTTTACCTTGTTTAGGGCCCGTTTGGCCATAAAAATTATCACTTTTTTGGAAAATTCTACTTTCTTTTGGAATTAGTGTTTGACCATGAAAATTTCATATTTCACTTGAAGTTGAATTTGGGAAATTTGAAAAACTTCAAATAATTGTTTTCAAAAAATTTTCACTTCAAATAACTCACAAAAATTTAAAAACATCTCCAAATTGTATTTATATCCAAACACAATTTTAATTTTCAAATACCATTTTCACTTAAATTTTTTTCCACTTTATTTTTTGTGAACTTCACAATTCTTATGTCCAAATGCCCACTTAGTTTATTTATCCTTATTTCCTATTCAAAACCATTCTCTAGTTTCTTCTTTTACTGTTTCAGATAAGCATCTGGAATAATTGTTCCTGTGCCACTATCCCACTACAACTGTTCCTTTTTATTTGCTAGATTCGATCTTTCTTTGTTGCCATATTATAATTGGAGGACCCAAATACTTAAAACAAAAGAAATACGTAGTCTACAGAAAGGCTAAAGAACCTTCTTTTCTGCATCAACAAAACCTCCTCCTTTTCTTGTTTTAACCAGACCCCTGATCATATCCTGAACCAATCTCTCTGTTTTAGTTAGTAACCAAACGATTTTCCTCTTCTTTTGAAGCTGTATTTGGGCTGCTATTGTTGTTCAAAATCCATGTCTATACCAATAGAACATGATTACATAGGTTTATCAGAAGCTTCTTTAATGGAAAGAAGTTGTGATAAAATCTCTTCTTCTTCTTCTTCATCATCATCTTCTTCACCTACTGATTGTGAGGAGCTTGAGAAAAGTAATGTTCTAAAGCTCAAGGAAACTGAGCTAAGACTTGGGTTGCCAGGTTCGTGGTCTCCAGAGAGGAAGGCTGAAAATGGGGTGTCTCCTTTTGGCAAAGATTTGGAGGATAAGAATATTATTGTTACCCCTTTGAAGGTTTTTGTTTCAGGAGCTAAGAGGGGATTTTCTGATACCATTGATTCCTCTAGGAAAGATAAGGCTGTTGGTCCTCAACCTCTAAAGTCTGTTGAAGAAAAAAAGTCTACTCCGGCGCATGGAAATGGTGTTTCTCATGCTTCAAAGTAAGTTTGCCCCCCCCTCCCCCCACCCCACCCCCCAAAAAAAATGGCTGGTACTTTGCTTTGCTTGTTGATAGGAAATAGGAAAAGAAGAAACTGTCTTTGTGAGAATTGGACCTATATGTAACCATGAGGGATCATTTAATGCCCATAAACTTTGGCAGAAATTTTGTATATATATATATATATATATATATGTATGTATGTACCTTGAAAATAAATAATATTAATCACTTGGCACCCTGAACCCTAGAAGTCATTAGGGGCACTGGTTGTGCAGAATATTGATACCCCGTCTGGTTAAAATCCTAGGTGTCTGTAATGAATGTGACCTACAAAAAGGATAGTCTTCTAGCATATTGCATTTAATAAAAGTATAAAACAGCCTCAAGTGGAGTGAAATTAATATAAAGGATTGATACAGTTGACCCCAACTAGTTTGGAATTAAGGTATTAATCGTTGTTGTTGACATCGGTTTTGTGTAACTGAATTGGATGGACTTGTAACCTTAGGCCCTGTCTCTGTCACTGCGAGAGGCTAAAAGGGATGAAATTAGCCCCAACCCTGCTAATTTTTTTTTCTTATACTAAGACCACATATCTGTACTTGCCAGTCTTAAAAATATAATCTAGAGGGGAAAAAAAGGAAACTGTTTTTGTGATGTAAATAAATAAGTCTTATAGCATATTGCATTTAATGAAACGGCTTCCAGTGGAGTGGAATTAATATATACTATGAAGGATTAATAAAGTCGATCCCAACTAGCTTGGAATTAAGGTGCGATTCTTGTTGTTGACATACGTTTCTCTTGTTTGTGTAATTGAGTTGGATGGACTTGCAACCTTACGCCTGGCTCTGTCACTATAAGATGCTTGAAAGGATTAATTGGCGCGTTAACCTTCTATTTTTTCTTTCTAATGCTAAGACCGCAGACTTGTACCAACTAGTGTGATCATTGTGAAGTCTTGCTGCTTCTCTGTCACCGCAAGAGGCTTGAAGGGATGAAATTGGAATGTAGCCTTGCTAATTCTTTTTGTAATACAAAGACCTACATATCTGTATTTATTAGTGTGAATATATTGAGTCTGTCGCTGCATTTGTATAATTTGGTTATGGGTTTTACTATTAGCCTAATAACTAGATTGCTATTATGTTCTGTATTAGGGCACAAGTTGTGGGATGGCCACCAATTAGATCTTTCCGCAAGAACACCCTTGCCAACAATTCGTTGAAGAATAACGAGACTGAAGGAAAATCAGGAGCAGGTTGTCTTTATGTTAAAGTTAGCATGGATGGTGCGACGTCAAAATCTACACCAACTATGCAGAACTCTCATCAGCTCTTGAGAAGATGTTCAGCTGCTTCACCATTGGTAAAACCTTTGTAGAATGCAAAGAACAAGTACTTATGCAAAGCCTTAGGAGGCAGTTCAAGTTTTGAAATGAAAACTATCTACTATTTTCATTCAAAATAGGACATAACTTTTGGCTAGAGCAATTGATACCAAAATTTGTCTCCCAATCTTTTTAACTACTCCCCAATGTGGAACTTTGTTCGCATACCCAACGGTATGTATTTTAGTGATAGATATTTTGTGTAATCGTTTTTAGGGCAATGCACCTCTGACGGACTTCCAGGGCGAGAGGGGCTTAGTGAAAGTCACTTGATGGATCTTCTCAATGGTTCCGAGTATGTGCTGACTTATGAAGACAAGGATGGTGATTGGATGCTTGTAGGCGATGTTCCCTGGGAGTAAGTTTTTCTTCCAACATTCTTTTCTATGATCTTAAAAAATGGATTAAGTGATTTTGCTTGTCAATTTTGCTCTATTTGGATGACTTGTGTCCGGGCCATCTGTTGTTGGAGTGTAAAAGTAGCTGCTTGGAATCTACATTAATTCTCTTCCATTTCTTTCTTGTTTCATATCGATCTTTTCCGCTGTCTCCAATCTTCAATTCAAGATCCAGAGTGGAAATTTTATGTTATAAAAGTGATTTAATGTACAATTCATCGTCTAAGCAGCTACTTATTGTTTGATTTGGATCTTGAGATAGGATGTTTATAGACTCATGCAAGAGACTGCGGATTATGAAAAGCTCAGAGGCAATCGGGCTAGGTATGTCCTATACTGAATAAGAATCTTGTGCTTGCCATGTAACACTTGCTAGTTCCTCCTTCTGCACTTTTCTATGGCAACTTGCCTCCTTGAGCCGGGGAAAACAATCTTACAGCGACGGATTTAGCGGGGCAGAATGGGGTTCACTTCGCCGGAAATTTATATTGTACATATAAGGCAAAATTCATTTTCTGCCTCTATATATTATATGTTATATTTTGAATCCCTTTGCCACATCTAAAAGCGTAGTTTAGTAGTCCAAGAGGGTTCAAAACTTTTGTGAGGTTGCTTGTTCAATTCCCACTGGCCATAGTCCCTTTTAATTTTAACTTTTTCTTTTTTGAACTCCCTTAGCGGAAATCCTACCTCCACCACTGCCATCTTATAGTCCTGTTTAAGAATACTGCCATGAGTTTTTTACATTGCATGGATCATCGGATTAAAATGTCTTTTATTTGTTAACCTTAAACTGGCTTGAAATGACTCAATTGTACCTCTTGGTTGCAGCTCCAAGGGCCATAAGCAAGTGCAAGAACCAAATTGTTGCCTAAAGTAGCGTTGAAGGCAGAAAGATTCATAAAATGTGATATGCTTTTATGTAAAAAATTTCCTTTTATTGATTTCACTTCTGTGGCCATTCCATTAAGGGAGGAACTGATTTGCTAGGAAGATACGATCAGCTATATCTAGATTTTTGTAGGCTGTAGTGCTTGCTAGTGCTTCTAGTACTTGTTAATTTTAATTTTGTCTTATATACTGGATTTAAATGGACCGATATAGGCAGTGAGCATTCATACAACTTATCCCAACTTGCAGGCAGAGGCGGAGCTAAGATTTGAAGTTTATGGACTCTGAACTGGCCATCAAACTTATAGCTCGTCTTAGTTATTGGGTTCGCAGTTAGATATTTATACGTATTTGATGAATTTTTAATACAAATACAGAATCTAAACAAAAGTTGTTGGGTTCAGTCAAACTCGTACCCAACACTCTACCTCCGCCTCTGCTTGCAGGTTCACTTTCTCCTGTCTCTTAAGATCCAACCTTGTATTAACTTTGTTTCTTTTATGATTTTTGTCTAGTTCTTCAAAATCCAATAAAAGAACTTTCAAGAGTAAACTCAATTGTATTATTTAGATTCATAGAAGCATATGTATCGAATGAAAGGAAAAAACGATTCTAATGAAATTATTAATTAATGCTTATTAAAGAATTTATTTTTAATTACATTATTAGATTAATTTCTAACTTCTACGTGTGGACAGCATAAAAAATATTTATACAATCAGATTATTTAAAAGTAATTACAGTAATTTTATTTAATAACACTGATTAATGACCTTGAATAAATAGAAAGTAGTAACATGTTATAATAGGTCGAATACTAATAATGTAACAAATTTATTGTATTGTGAGTATATATAACTTAAAGTCCTTACATTATAATTGATCTAAGCATGTACATTTTTATACCCACTTTTGATCGCAACCAGGTGAAATTAAAACAAAAAAAGGTATTTTAACATAAATAGCTGACTGAATTTATTGTTCAATTTTCATAGCTGATATACACTAGTTATACACGATCATATACATATTATAAGTGAATTATATATGTGCCGAATAATTTTAGTTTAAGTATTGAGTGGACGACCATTTTAGGTTAATTCTTCGTAAGAAAAAGGGGATTGTTTTGGCAAAAAAGAAAGAAAAAAGGAAAAATGGATTGGCGGGATAAGTGTTTTCGTCATTGTGGGGTAGCTGATAGTTGAGAGCATTAAACCTTCATTAACACCAATACATTACACCATTTCAATTCTTCTATATTAGCATTTCTCGTAGAGAGAGATCTAGACATAGACATGGCTTCAACAATGGACTTTGAGCCTCCAAATTCCCCTGCTTCAGCTCCATCTTTCGCCATAAGACCTAATCACAGCTTCTTGAGAAGTATTTCTACAAAAGAACCTTCTAATTTCTCCGAAGATCTTCCCTATAGCCCACCTCGTTTAAGCACTTCAGTTCTCTCTTCCAATACATGCCACCACAACTCTCAACCTTCAACTCCGCAACTTTCCTTCACGCTCGACAATCCAAAATTAGCCGATGATCATCACTTTCAAACAACTTACAGGTGCATTTCATCAGTGTTAAAAAAAGATGGACAGATCTTGTCTGTTGCTACGTCAAATGGCCTCGTTTATACAGGGTCTCAGGCTAATGTAATACGTGTTTGGAAGTTGCCAGAGTTTACTGAATGTGATCATCTTAAGACGAGGGGGTCTATGGTTGTTGCATTAAAAGTGTCAAATGATATGGTTTATGCTGCTTATGCGGATTGTAAGATTCGGGTTTGGCGTAGGACTTGGGAAGGTGTTATCAAGCATGTTCGGGTTGCTAGTATTCCTAAGGTTGGAAGCTTTGTCCGGAGCTATATCTCTGGTCGAGATAAGATGGTAATATACAATATTTATTCATTTTTTATATGTGTTTCTATAAAGGGCAGCCCGGTGCACCAAGCTCCCGCTCCCGCTATGCGCGGGGTCCGGGGAAGGGCCGGACTACAAGGATTTATTGTACGCAGTCTTACCTTGTATTTATGCAAGAGTCTGTTTGCACGGTTCGAACCCATGACCTCCTTATCACACGACAACAACTTTACCAGTTATGCTAATACTCATTCGCAGTAGTTAACTGTTCCTTAATATGCATTAATGGTAGGACGTACGGTGTAGGCTGGCATACTGCTCCTTTCACTGTGACTCTGCTAGTGTAACATGCTCTAGGGGAAATTTGTTATGCATGGTTTTAGCCTGTGATATAATTCTATTTTACTTTCTTTGGGGCATAATTTAAGAACCAGAATTTATAGCGTAAGGCTGCGTACAATAGATACTTGTGGTTCAGCCATTCCCCATACCCCGCGCTTAGCGGGAGCTTAGTGCACCGGGCTGTCTTTTTTTAATTTATACAGAATACAAAATAGAGATATTCGTGGGACAGTCATGGCCTATACCGACAATTACATTTTTGCATAACAAGTTGTGTTAGTCTGAAAGCTTATGTGCCAACGGAAAGTGGGAAAGTTAAAGTCCGTCTGGTTAATATCAGCTGCTGCAAATTTGGATCATCAGATTATTATTTGTTCAGGAATCTGTATCCAGTTTGATTTGGACTGGAAAAAGTTGAAGCCTGGACATCTTTTAGGGCTGTATTAATTGCAGCAAACCAAACCTTGACATGGACAGTGCTGGGAACATATTTATTACCATATGCGGCTACAGCTTTGTGATTAAAGCACACCAGTGTCAAATTTAGCACATTTCAATTTTCAAAAGCATCTAATTTAATGCATACTCTTCAAGTCTTGATATGCTTGTCTAATCAGAATAGTTCATGATCTTCACTTTTTTGTGTAGATAGAAAAATTAAATGCCTTTTAATGAATTGTGACAGATGAAGCACATGGGACCAATATCATCACTGGCAATTAACATATCAGATGATATACTTTACTCAGCTTCCCTTGATAAAACAGTAAAAGTATGGAGAATTTCTGATCTCAAATGCATAGAGACAATCCAAGCCCATAACGATCCGATAAACGCCATTGTTGTTGGTGATGATGGTGTCCTCTATACTGCTTCTGATGATGCCACAGTCCGAGTATGGCGACGTAATTTTTGTAGTGGAGATAGGCCACATTCCCTCACTGTGACATTACCAGCTAAATGTTCACCAGTAAAGACATTAGCATTAACAACTGATGGTGGGGTATTGTATGGTGGTTGCAGTGATGGTTACATTCATTATTGGATAAAAGGTTGGTTTTCAGGGCAATTACAATATGGGGGTGCACTTCTTGGACACACACATGCTGTAATGTGCTTGTCCAGTACGGCTAACTATTTCATCAGTGGCTCTGCAGACTCAACGTGCAGAGTCTGGTTTAGGGAGCAAGATTGTCAACATGTTTGCGTGGCGATCTTGCAAGGTCACAGAGGACCGATTAGGTGCGTTACAGCTTTCCCAGGATGCGTGAATAATGAGGAGAGTGAAGATGGTTGCACCATTTGCACCGGAAGTCTTGATGGAGTTATCAAGATGTGGCGTGTGAGATGCACCAGCAGTAGCAGCGATAATACGGGCAAAGGTTCTTCACAGAATGCTTGTGATTATTTTGAGATCGCTTAAATATGGATGACACCCTTTTATTTTTCTTGCAAGATGTATGTTTTACAACTAGAGACGGATCCAAGATTTTAATTAGCAAGTGCAGACAGACTATCACCTGACTTCTGACTTGTTTGTAACAATGGCTGCGGATTTTGTCCAGGTTTCAACTTTGAGATACAGAGTAGAAGAGGCCAATGAATTCTTTGTACCATGTCCTCGCAGATTGAGATCCAGCACCATATATATAGCTACTAGCAATAGATAAATGTTCTAGTACAATATTTATAATTAAATTTTCCTTTTAATTTGCATTATTTGAAATTTACTACTGGGATCAAACGCTTACCATCACACCAAAAGCTATAGTTGATAGCAAGGGCACAACTTTATTTTTTAACAAAGCCCGCCAAGCAAGCTCCATGTTCGATTATGATTCCAACGTTGGCCACCTTAGCCCCCTAGCGGGCCTTGCCTTGGCTGGATGTTGGCGTTACCTAGCAGCATGTTGCTCTTGGGAATCGAACCTATTAGAAAGGCTTTGATACCACTTGTTAGGATCAAGCGTCGTACCAACAGCTATAGCTGATAGCAAGGGCGCAACTTTATTTTTTAACCAAGCCCACCAAGCAAGCGCCATATTCGATTATAACTCCAACCCATGCCACCTCAGCCCCCTTGCGGGCCTTGCCATAGGCAGGATGTTGGCCTTACCCAACAACTACGGGTTGACATTTAAATTGACTCTACATGCTTTTGTTTTTTCCTTCTAGGCCCGGGTGAAGGGTGGTTGTTCATCCTACGCAATCCATCTATTTTATTTGTGGGGAAGTTGTGTCTTTCTTTCTAACTGTTTAAAGCTTTAAAGACAATTTACACAATTCGATACAGTAACATATAAGTAAACTGTTCCATTTAAACAGTATTTGAGAGTTCGAGAAGACACGGACATTAGTAAAATGTTTGGCATACAATTTCAACATTTAGCCAGCCTTGTGACATTCTTGATTGAAGAAAGTAAAACACTAGTTCAGTGATAGAGTAAGAGACCTTGTAAAATTACGAAACAAGATAGAATTGAGGCAAGCAAATTGTCTGTTTGAGACAAGTGCATTGCTGGTAAAATAATGAATTTACTTTCCAACAATAAGGTTTAACTCATCTAAATCTGTTGCTGTCCTTGTCGCGGCTGCAATTGTAATTCCCTCCCTGCATCAGAAGCCAACTGATTGCTGTGAGATTGTCTTCTCTTCCGTAGCTGATAAATAGTGTAACAAAAAATCTTTAAACCGATAAGGGATCCAATTATTATCAGCGCCGAGAATAAAAGTGATTTGGTAGAAGAGTGCTTGCACCCAAACAGGATGCTTAGACACACCATATGGTTGTGTCAAACAGTAGTGGCAGATTCAGAATTTAGACGTTGTGGGTTGTGGATTTTGAATTGAGAGTGTAGGTTCTAAAATCAGGATTGCATCAATGTTTCATAAAAGATTTGTACTTCCTGCTTGAGTATAAATATGAAGAAGCTTTCTGATTACTGTATTCCTAACTTGTTCATTGTTTAATACTATTTTGCCATGACCTTTTCCCCTGAATCAAGTATACTATTCTTGAAATCTTGAATTCGGTGGCAAAAGATGGCAAAAGGAAAAGTTCCTTTCCTTGGAATAGTTCTGTCTGTATGAGTGCGTCTCTTCTTTTGCAGATACCCTCTTATTTAATTTGGTGGTATCACAGTAGAGATCATATGTCTGTTCTCATTGCTCTCTCCTATGATTAAAAGCATATGCATTTCCGGTAGTGTTAGAATTTTCTGAAAAAGTAAATACTATATCGATTTCATAGATAAAGTTATAGAGAATCTTTGAAAAAAACTTTCTCTCATCATATATAAAATATAGTATACATACTATCTTTGGGATCTTATCTTTGATCCTATACAGCTGCTCAACATCACTTTTAGTGCATTAGATGATAAGTGATTATATGGAAGTCCTTGCTTATCTTTGCAACTGTTTTGTAATTTACTAAAAGGTGAACTTAGATTATCATAGTGAGATTTTATGTTGAATTCAGCGAATTTGGGCGGAGGCACATTGGCTTAAGCGGTGTCATTCCATATCACTTCGTCACAAAATTTACTAAACATGTACGAAAATTGAACGATTATGTTAAATAATATGAGGGTAGTTTAGTCTTTGTAGCTAAAGGTTGTTATTAACCGTTAATGGTTGTTAGAGAGTTAGTTAATTAGTTAAATATTCACAACTAAATGTGATGTATAAATATCTGTACTTAGCCTTTAATAAACAATACAAGATACATAATTTCTTAGCTACATTCGTCTCTTTTCCTCTCTCTCTAAATGACTGAGTCTCCGTCTTCTTCCTAACATCTTCACCTTCACTGTATTTCTCTGTAAATTATAACATGGTATCAGAGCTTTTAATCTAAGAAAAGTAGCCTACATCTCGATCCTAAATACAGAATCTATTCCATTCTTGTTCGTTTCTGTTTTTTGTGGAAAAAAATTACAATTAACAGATTCTTGAATCCTTGAGTCAACAAGAAAATGGCGATTTCGGATGAACAATTGGGCCAAACACCAGGAATTCAAATCACTCGTGACCAAGTGAATCAAAATACCGGAAATCAAGCAACCGGGATCATCCACTCTTCTTATCCCCTGCTGATATAAGTGGTATTCAAATCATTTCATTTCAATTGACTGGAATTAAGAACTATTCCATCTGGGTTAGGTCTATGCGAGTAGCCTTGTTAGGAAGAAATAAGTTGGGCATGGTTGATGGTACATGCAAGAAAGAAAAATTCCCATAATCAATGTGGAATCACTGGGAAAGAGTCAATGCAATTGTGCTATCTTGGATTATGAATTCAGTGGCAAAAGGACTTCTTGGAGGAATTATGTATGCATCAATTGCTTAGGTGGTTTGGGAAGATCTTTCAGAAAGGTTTAACAAGGTTGATGGATCAAGAAACAATAATTTGGACAAGGAAATAGCAACACTCGCAAGACACAACTTCTGTATCTGCCTACTTCTCAAGATTGAAGGACTTATGGAAAGAGTTTGAGGCTTGTGCATGCACCTGGGTGTGACTGTCCAAAATCAAGAGAATTTGTGGTGTATTTGCAGAAGTTGAAGTTATACCAATTCTTGATGGGATTAAACGATTCAACCCTCAAGTTAGGAGTCAGATCTTGATGAGAAGTCTTATTCCCATAGTAAATCATGCATATGCATTAATTGTAAGTGATGAGGGATAGAAGTCTGTTGCTGCTACCTCAGGAATTTTACAAGTCAGATGGAAAACTATGAAGTTGCTACGTACTCGAAAGCTAGAGGAAATCAGAATCTGAACCAAAGGTTCAGAAGAAACTACAATTTGTACTGTGAATTTTGCAAAATGAAGGGACATAGCAAAGAAAATTGTTATAAGATTGTGGGATATCCTGCAGATTTCAAGAACAAAAGAAGAGGAAATGCTAATACAAATGCAACATATAATGTCAATCTAATGCCAGAACTGATCACTTTACTGCTCAAGATCATTAGCAACTACTTCAATTATGGACAAAATACAAATGTATAGGATCATGTCAATACTGGAGGCAGTTCTCAAAGCTCTACTCTGAATTTAGAAAATTCAGGTCTTGAGAACTATGCTCTCACAAAAACACAATATGAACATATTCTTCAAATGTTGAACAAAACCAATGTGCCAAATTCTGCTTCAGCAGCTAATGTGGCAGGTATTGATATAGCTCTATTAGTTTCTAATTGTCTTAGTCAGTGGATCATAGATTCAGGAGCAACAAGCCATATGGTATCTGACAAAAACTTACTGCATGAGGGAACAGTAATTGAAACAAAAAATCCAAAGAAAGTATTATTACCAAATGGTGACATTATTACGGTTACTCATACAGGATCAAGTTCTATATTAGAGAATAACACAATAACAAATGTGTTTTATGTTCCTTAATTCAAATACAATCTATTGTCAGTTTCTAAGCTAACCAAAGATTGCAATGCTCCACAACATTCTTTCCTGATTTTTGTGTGTTTCAGAAGCTCTTCACTGGGAAGGTGAATGAGATTGGTAAAGAGGATGGTGGCCTATACCTACTATATACTAACATAGCTTAAAGGAACAGAATGGATGCCTTAACTACAAGAGGAAATGATACAACTGAGGCGGACAAATCAGATGTGATTCTCTGGCATAGAAGATGTGGTCATGTGTCTACACAGACTCTTAGAAAGTTACTACCTATAAATATTGATACTATCAAGAATAGAATAAACAAATGCACAGTGTGTCCTTGTGCTAAACAGGCTAGATTGCTATTTCCTACAAGCAGTATTCAAAGTAGTAGATGTTTTGATCTAATACATGTAGACTTGTTGGGGCCTTATAGGATTGCTACATTGGATGGAAACAAGTATTTTTTGACTATTGTAGATGATTTTTCAAGAATGACTTGGGTGTTTCTACTAAAGCAAAAAATTTGATGCATGTATTTCAATTCAACATTTCTTCAATTATGTCAGAACTCAGTTTGATATAACAATAAAGGCAATTAGAACTGATAATGGTACAGAGTTTGCGAACTCTGTGTGTGAACAATTGTTCAAAAACTTGGAATTCATATATCAAAAAACCTGTGTATATACCCCTCAGCAGAATGGGGTAGCTGAGGAGAAACATAGGCACATATTAGAAGCCACAAGGGCTATTAAGATTTCAAGCTCAAATACCTATTAAGTTCTGGGGTCACTGCATATTAGCTGATGTCTAGTTAATAAACAGAATGCCCCGCACTGTCACTGGAAACATATCTCCTTTTTAAAGGTTATATAAAAGGGAGCCTTCTCTAATGCATCTTAGAATATTGGGCTGCCTATGCTTTGCTAAAACTGTACAAGAGCATGACATGCTAATGCCAAGAGCAAAATTATCTATACACATGGGATACTCAGAAGTTCAAAAGGGGTACATTTTATATGACCCTTCAGTTAAGACATTTTTCATAAGTAGAGATGTAATATTTAGAGAAGATATATTTCTCTTTATAAAGAAAGAATAGCACTCTCAACCAATATTTGTTGATACAACACCAGATTCAGGAATGCAACTGGATAATCCTACAATACTATTTGAAAATAGAACAGAAGCCACAACTACTAATGAGGGTGACAACACTGGAAGAGGCAAAACAGATAATTAGCACAACACAGAAGAAAGTTATACGAAATGCATACAGAATATACAGACATGGATTTCTATACAGAATCTACACAATTTGATCATAATTCACATGAAATGCCATCTACTACTACTGAGATACAAAATCAACCATCAACTGAAGTCAGAAAATCCTGTAGAGACAAACATCCTCCAGTCTGGATGAAGGATTTTGTATCTCTAAATATTCATCAAAGTGTACCATATGCACTAAACAAATATATCAGTTATGATCATCTCTTCTCTAAATATCAGTCCTATGTAGCTGCAACTTCATCAGTTACTGAACCAACTAACTACTCTGAAGCAATTCTAGATCCAAGATGGATACAAGCCATGAATGAAGAGATAAAAGTTCTTGAGAACAATCATACATGAGATATTGTAACACTACCAGAATGCAAGAAGCCTATAGGATGTAAGTGGATTTACAAAATCAAGTACAAAGCCTCAGGTGAAATTGAAAGGTTCAAAGCTAAATTAGTAGCCAAAGGCTATAGCCAAAATGAGGGAATTGATTATCAAGAAACATTTTCACCAGTTGTGAAAATGGTCACAGTAAGAACCATTCTTGCCTTAGCAGCTATAAGGAAGTGGCATATACATTAAATGGATGTATATAATGCCTTCCTTCAAGGTAATTTATTTGATGAAATTTATATGGAATTACCATAGGGATTTAAAAGTTAGGGGGAGAACACTGTGTGTAGACTTGTTAAATCCCTGTATGGGCTCAAACAAGCTCCTAGACAATGGAATGCAAAACTGTGTGAAGCATTACTGAGGTTCAACTTCAAACAAAGTCAGTATGATCATTCTATATTCATCAGAAAAACAACTGAAGGTACTACTATAATTCTAGTATATGTAGATGATATGTTAATCACATGTGACAATCTGCAATTGATTGAGGAAACAAAAAACCTACCGCACAATGCATTCAAAATGAAAGATATGAGAGAGCTAAAATACTTTGTAGGAATTGAATTTGCCAGATCCAATCAAGGAATAACTATGCATCAGATAAAATATGCTTTGGAACTAATTTCAGAAGTTGGCTTAGCTGCAACCAAACCAGCAATAACTCCGATTGATGTTAACATCAAATTAATCTCTAAGAAGTATGATGACTTCATTGGTAAGGCAGAATGTTCAGAAGAAGAAGACAGATTGGTTGATCAAGCTTCCTATCAAAGACTAATAGGAAAACTACTATATTTAATTGTAACTAGGCTAGACATAGCATTTGGAGTTCAAACTCTTAGCCAATTCCTTCAACAACCCAAAAGATCACACATGAAAATTGCTTTAAGAATAGTAAAATATGTTAAAAGTCAGCCAGGGCAAGGGATTGTGCTGTCAAGCACTCATAACAATACAATCACTGCTTTTTGTGATGCAGATTGGGCTGCATGCCCTTTGACTAGAAAATCAGTTGCAGGGTTCTTAGTTAAAGTTGGCGACTCCTTAATTTCATGGAAGTCTAAGAAACAAACTACTGTATCTCAAAGCTCTGCAGAAGCTGAATACAGAAGCTTAGCAACAACAGTAGCTGAACTCATTTGGCTATATGGTTTACTAACAGAAGTTGATACAAAGATCCAGTTACCTATCAATATCTACAGTGTCAACAAAACAGCTATACAAATAGCTGCAAACCTAGTCTACCATGAAAGAATTAAGCACATTGAAATTGATTGTCACTTTATGAGGGAAAGAATTCAACAAGGACTCTTCATCACTAAATATGTTGTAACAACAAATCAACCTACTGATATTATTACAAAGGGACTAACCAAAGTGCAACATGAATATTTAAAATCCATAATAGGTGTGATCAATATTTTCTACCACATAGTTTGAGGGGGAGTGTTAAATAATATGAGGGTAGTTTAGTCTTTGTAGCTAAAGGTTGCTATTTACCGTTAATGGTTGTTAGAGAGTTAGTTAATTAGTTAAATATTCACAACCAAATGTGGTATATAAATATCTGTACTTAGCCTTTAATAAACAATACAAAATACAGAATTTCTTAGCTACATTCGTCTCTTTTCCTCTCTCTCTAAATGGCTGAGTCTTCTTCTTCTTCCTAACATCTTCACTTTCACTGTATTTCTCTGCAAATTACAACAAATTAGCGCAAAAACACCACTCAACAAGAATTGCTCTTTAGCTGACCTCTCATATGGTAGGCTTGCCCTGCCACTTTTTGAAAACCTCCTGATGCTAATCCATAAGAGGCAAGATTTGGCCTTCTTTATATAATGTTGTTCGCCCTTATAAAGATCTAGATCGTGTTCGGTATAGACTGCTATAGGGCCAACAATATTACTAGCTTGTACCATTTCATTGACTAAATATAAACGAAATGATGCAGGCTCAATATGGAATTCAAAGTACATGGCTTCTGGCTTATAATTGTCTACAGACTATATTTGTTTAACCCATTTTATAAAGTATATTTATTAACTTAATGTCTAATGTGACATTAATTTAACGATGGGACTCGAGGAAACAAGATGGGATTCAAGGATCATAGTAATATAAGTGCACGAAATTACACCCAATGACCTTGAAAATGTATGGTCTTGATCTTTTGACTTCCGCTTGCCCGATGGTCAAACCTTTAGCTTTAAGGTCAAAAATGTTGCTCATGGGGCAAGCGACGAGCAACATTTGTTAAACTTGATGTTATAGGGCAATCGTGGTAAAAATATCAAGATCACCCACTTCCATGTTGGTTCCATTGTATCTTGACCCGGATAGAGAGAGGTTAAGCCCCATAAACGGACTGTCCAATTTGTTCGCAGCCCAGATACTTGGATCTGTTTCTGGCTATATCCCCATTGACAAACCCATGTAAAACCAGCCATTTTTTTTCGCTAAAAAACCTAGCCATTTGAATCTTAAGGAATTTCAGTTTTGTGATAAATATTTAAGTTGTATATATATTAGCGGAGAAAAATAATTTTTCAAATGTCAACATAATTGACCGTTATATATTAATAGATAACGTGTTTTCTTTCACGTCTATTTTTCATGCTATCGGTCCACATTTAATATAGACAATTATTTGTTGTTAGAATTTACGTAACATGGTAATGTATACAACAATTGCACTATTAATATTAAAAAAAGGATCTTTATATTAATAGCCGGTCATATTCATTTGTTTACTTTTCCTGGTTATATACATAGTTTAAACATTGACATAATTATACACATATAATACATAAATTATGTATATATATATATGTTATACCTCTACCGGTTATTTTTAGTTTAAGCGGTTGGGTGGATGACTATTTGAGCTAATTATACTTAAAAAAATTAGAATCGATAGGTAAATAAGGACCTTTTTTGGGACAAGGAGCCATCCTCTGTATTTTCCCGCTTAATGTGGCAACAATGAAAATTTTGTTAGCTGCTAAATTTGTTCTCTAAAGACGACGTGGTCAGTAGCATAGCTAAAAATTTCATGAAGAGGTTTCAAAATATGAAAGAAGTAAATATATAAAGAAGTTATGAGATTTCAACACTTACTATATACATAACAAAAAAATTTGACCTAGTATATATAGTATAAATTTTTTTGGTGAAGGGGATTCGGGGACTCTGCCCATGGACGTGGCAACGACTTACCAACAGAGTAGCATCAAGGTATATTTATAACTTTAGTAACTCAATTTTTCCTTTGGTCAAGCTTATTGAGTCCCTCCAAAAGAGAAATACCAAAGACAATCTCAACATAAACTCTAGAGATAGACAAAATCCAAAAATTCAAAGATATTGTAGTAGTTTAAGAGACTGATGATTGATGCCGCAGTATAGGAAAATGGTTTTGTATACATAGAAGTCCACTTCGTGCATATGAACTAGTTGTTTTTCCATCAGCATACGCGTGCTCGTTCTAACCATTTTGTGATTTCTATGATTACAACTTAGAATTATGATATACTCAAGTTAAGTTTTTCAATTATGAAAGATCACCTGACAGTCTGAAAACACATGCGGTGTTGAGAAAGAGAGGGATACAGAAAATGAAAGAATACTAATATATTTCAATGTATAGAACTGTAGGATTTACAATGTATTTATACAAGCAAAGGAGTCTCAATTATCTCTTGATTACTAGCCTACTAATTGCTAGACAAATATCCATGAAATTGGGCAGCTAATTTGCTCTACAAATTGACTATTAGTCATAATGGGAGATCCCTGAAATTGGGCTCTTAAATAAGGTATAGTCAACACCCAATGCTATGTATCACAAAGCATGAGTTTGGACAGAAGATAATCGTACTGACTTCTTGCCGTAGCCTTTGTGAACAAATCTGCTAGTTGATCTTTAGATGATATATATCTCAGGTTAATACTCCGATCTTCAACCAATTCTCTGATGTAGTGATAGTCTATGTCTATGTGCTTGGTATTTTCATGATGAACGGGGTTGGTTGCTATTTGAATTGCACTGGTATTGTCTCCATATAATGTGGTCGATCCTTCGATCTTGATGTCAAGTTCTTATAATAGCCTTCGTAGCCAATGATTTCAGAGCATGCAACAGACATACTTCTATATTCTGCCTCTGTGGATGACTTCGATGTTCGGGATTGTTTCTGATAATTTCATGAGATCATGCACGAGCCAAGCGACATGCACCAGCCAGTAGTGGATTGTCTTGAATCAGGGCATCCATCCCAATATGCATCAGCATATCCCACCATATCCAGCGATGAAGATGATGGAAACAAGAGACTTCGATTCACAATACTCCTTATGTATCTAATTACCCTTAGCAAAGCTGAATTGTGGATCTTGTAAGGCTTAGTGACGAATTGACTTAACACTTCTACTTCATAAGAGACAGCAAGACGACTCATGGTAAGATATATAAGTGACCCAACCAAATGTCTATACAAAGTTTGCTCTCCTTGCTCTTTTCTGTATTTCGTATTCGCTTCCATTGGAGTATGAACCTTCTTATCATCTGTGAGATTTGCTAAATGAACAAAATCTTCTGCATACTTTAGCTGACTCAATCGTATGCCTTCTTTTCCATAAGTCAGCTCAAGCCCAAAAAACATGTTAGCTTACCTAGGTCCTTCATCTTGAACAAGGAGTCTAATAGGTTTTTCAAATGAGAGATTCCAACTTCATCATTTCCTGTGATAATTGCGAGCATGTAATTTTTGCCTCACAAAAATACTCCTATAAAATTCACGAAAATAGATTTTTTCTAATTGTTTTAATTTTTCATAGAATTTCTAGGAATCTCTTGTTAATTATTATTTGCATTTAGTTGCATATTTAATATCTTAAAATTATAAGAAAACACCAAAAATTTTCAAAATCTTCATTGCATAACATTTTAGGTTTTACTTGCATTTTAGGATTTAATTACGTTTATTAGTTGCATTATTAAATGGAAATCACAAAAAATACCATGGTCATTTTATATTTTTAATTTTTAGTCTTAAATTATTAATTTCATTTCATTAGTTTTAAATTAATTAATTATTTAAATGTTAGAAATAGATAATTAAGTTTAATTCTACAAATTTAATTTAATTTAGGACCTAATTTAGGTTTTAATTAATTTGATTAAGATTTAAAATCAAAGATACCCACAAATCCGCTCTAACCCAAACCCGCTCCGGTCCAGCCCTTAATGATCCAAAACGCTGGCGTTTTAGTAACGCCGATCTCAGCCGTTCATTTCTCCTAGTCCAACGGTCATGAACTCCCTTACCCCATTCCTTATAAGTCTCGGAAAGCCCCCCCTCCCCCCAATTACCCCAATTACCCTCACCAAACTCGTCACCACTCTCTCACCCCTCTCTCACCACCCGTGGTCTCCGCCGCCGGTACCCTACGACGGCGGACAGTCTCCAAACGACCCCAAATCGTCACCACACAACCTCCATCCTCCCCTCAGTCTAAATCCCTCATTAATTTTCCCAAAAAATCGCCCAAACTCCGTGAATTTCAAATGTGGAAATCTCAAAAAAAAACCTAGCTTTACCCTTTCTTTGTTTTCTGGCAATACCAATTCGACTTGACTTAGAACCTACCTCGATCGATTATTCTTAATAAGAACAATCGATTGACATTGGTTTTGGCTCATTTCGAAGCCACCGGAGTTCCGACAGAAATACTATCACCGACCTCCATGGTTTTTCTCCTGGTTTCGACCTAGTTCAAAATGGTAATGCTTTCTTGTTTCCTTTATGTATTTCTTGTCAGTAGCCATGTTCGTATTTAGAGTTCACTTCAGATTGTATTTGTTTAAACATTTGGTTTTGTTTCGGTTTCTGATGTTTCGTTATTCATGACTTGTTTGTTCTCAGATTAGTTTAGTCGTATGCGTTTTAGGATAATTGAATCAAGCTTAATTAATTTCTTAATTTAGCTAGGTTTAATTGGTAAACGTTTAATATTGATCTGTCTTGTTTGTTCGTTGATTTGGTTTTAATTGGTTGCAACAGACTTAGATTGATTTTTGCTGTTTGAATGTCAAAAGGGTTTGGGGGATGAACGTTTATTAACAGGAACTTAAGGGGTTTAATTAGGAAGAAAATCAGGGAATTTTGTTTGGTCACACAAGAAACTTCTAGATAATGGACAACTATCCCAAGTTGTTAATGAAAATATTGAGAATGAGATAAAACATTTAGAAATAGGACAGTTGTCCAACAATTGGTTAAAAAAGATGTTTTATCCCAAAATTTTAGCTGACAGATTCTTTTTTCTAGACTTTCTCATTCTCCCTTATAGCACACACATAGCCTATATAATAAGGATTTTCATTCTGCATTCAGCGATGGGGAGTCATACAGCACATAGGGATCTCTTTTTCATCTCCTCTAAAAGCAAAAGCCAATTTTTTTTTGGAATTCAAAGTGACTTCCAAATTTGGAAAACTAAAATCTCAGGAGTTGCTTCTATGACTATATCGTTTCATTCCATTGGTTCCTGATTTTGCTAAAGTTAGTTTTGGACTGAATTTGAGGCCTTCCTCTGGGATTTACTGATGTTGGTTGCCGTGTTGTTGATTTTTCATCAAGCTATTGTGGAATCTTGTGTTTAGCTGCCTCTCAAGTTCAGAGATTTATTTTCTGTTCCTTTTGTTTTGCTGCTACTAAGGTATTGCTTTGACCTCTTGTAGATGTAACCGTGTCTTGAAGTAATGGAATACCTAATGCGATTGTAGTTGCATAGTGTTTTGTTTTGAGTATAGATCATTGTGTGTTCTTATATGTTTAACATGTATGAGTCTGATTCTGTTAGCCATGTGATTAAGGTTAAGTTGTCACAGTCAGCTAAAATCTACACTAATGTGCTCATCTATGTTTTCTGTTGAAGTGTTTATGGCTTGACTGCCATTGTTTGAGTTAATGGTATAGGGTGCATTGATACTACTGTCTAAGACATGTTCAGATTCATTTAAGCAGTAAACACACGCTTGAAATAGTGTCATTTCTTCATTTTAAGTGTTGGCTCATGAAATTAATGGTGTAATCTTGATTTGATATTAGCATGTGGAGGCAAGGGCCAGTCAGTTATTGGATTTGATCACTAGTTGATCAAATCCATTACTGGATAAATTTTTGGACCCAAATCAGGCAGTAATGAAGTGAATGAAGTGCTGGGGTTTCAGGCTGATTAAGTTAACTAGCCCAGGCGTGACCGGAATAGGGGCATAGCTTTCAATTAATGAAATTGAAGGTTATGGTTATTATAGCAATTCATCAAGTGTAGCAAACTCAGTCAGTTAGGATTATGTAGTTTTTTTTTGGCACTCCGCTAGGCAAGCGCCTAGGGCTAGTTTTTTATTAATAACAGAAAAAAGAAAAATACAACAATTAGGAAAAGCATAAATAAGGGGGACAATAGCACCGTTAGTGTTACCCATATGCCTTGGCTATATAATCACTCCTCTGCGCCTCACACTGCCTTATGATGACAGCCTCATGTAGAGGATTCATGGTGTAGCTGTCGGCAACGTCTCACGAGGGCATATAATCTCATAGCCGTGTGGATAATTTCCAAAAGCATAAGACTAAGGCAACACAACTCGGGCTAAACCTTACCTTACTAATCCTATTGAGGCAAAGAAAAGGCCTCACCTACTAGCAAGCATGTAAAAAATAAGAACTTGAACGGACCAAATATTCAATGATCATCACAGAGTTTATAACATACTCTGTGATGATATTACAAATGAGAATACTAAGAAAGTGGTAAAATAGAATGTAGTACCAATTTGATTCTTGTCCCTTCTTTTCCAAACTTGTAAAATCTTCAATTTGTAATTCTTTGTTGTTTTCCTGAACCGTGTTCAAAACGTAATCAAAAAACATCATTTCTTTTTTGGACGGTTGGACCTCGTTGACGTAGTTGGGGCAGCCTTCTTTTGTTTGACAACTCTCATTGGAAAGTCGCCTAACATTTAGAAAATCACTAACCTTGTCGTCCCAACTATTTTTCCTTGTATGTGCTTTCTTTATTTTGCCGCTCTGCATAGGTGATAAATCGCCTTGTTTTGCTGCATGTGACCGACATTCTTTCAAAACAACATCTTCTTCTCCTTCCTCATACATATCTCTACCCACATTCACAGGATGCGGATAGTTGTCGACGAGGTCCTATGTCATCAATGCATTTCCTTATTGTGTATTTGCCAAAGCTGTCGTGTTGTGATGTTGCTTTATGACTTGCATTTTATTCCTGTTTTTACTCACATTTCCTGTACTAACAATTTGCATTGAACTTTCTGAGTTTCGATGTGTAGAGTCTGCCAATGCATCAAGCAGTTTTCTATCTTCCTCAGAAATCATAGGAGTACTGGAATCCTGTTGTTTCTGTCCAGCATTTGAGTTCATTATTGTAGTACTTGGTGTGCTTTCAAGTTGTTGTTGTTGTCCAGTCATATTGCTTACAGTAATAGCTGTTTTGGTTGTCACCACATATTGCTGCCCAGATTCAGTAACAACTCCAGCTGCTTTGTTTGCAATGAGTTGCTGCTGCTGCCCAGATTCAGTAACAACTTCAGCTACAGTTGTTGAATTGAGTTGCTGCTGCTGCCCAGATTTCTTTGCTATTGCTTTTCCTTTCGATTCAGCTTTTGTGCATCTTTGTTGTTGCTCAATGTTGGGGATGAATTCCGGAGCTGTGGCATTAAGCCTGCGACTGGATCCTAGCTTGGAGGAACTTTCAACCTTTGGCAAATTTGGTGAGAATACTGTCTCTTCATCACCACTACACATCTCACCTTCTTCAGCAGAATCCCTCACAAATTGAATTTCCAGATCTTCTTCATCATCATATTCACACTGATCAACCCATTGCTTATAGTTAACTGCCATCTCCCCCACAAAGCCAGCACCCCAGTATTCATCATCATCATCCTCATGTTGGTCATCCCAAAATTTGGATTTAATACCTTACTCTCCAAACGTTTCCAAAGATTGTGATGGTATTTCAAAGACGAATTTGTTCAATGTCACAGTTGGTGGATTAACCATATTGGTGTTCATTATCATTGCATTTTGCGCGTCTTTAATGATTTTTTCCATATGTAGACTGGAAAAAAGTAGTGTTGGAATGTTGGAACTTTGGGCTTGTTTAGCTACTAGCTCGTTGCGTAGGACATTTGTTTCACTTGTAGTGCATGGAACAATTTGCTGTTGAACCATAGTACCATTTAGTGTTGATGAGTTGATTCCAATTTCCTCCTCATGTACAAGTGCATCAAAAGAATTTGGAGTGATTATATCCTGTCGAAATGCTGGTACACTCAAATGTTGTTGCTTAGCCTTCACAGCTGGAGATGTATCTTGTCGACTAGGAGATCTCATCACATCTATCCAATCATCTGCAAATTTTTTCGACTGCCCAGCTTGTTCCTGTTCATTAGAACCTGCTGGTTTTTCTTCAGCCATGATAGCATTTGTTCCATTATATACATTCACTACACCTTGAACACTAAGAGTTTGAATCCCTGCTTTAGCTCGATCACCAGCTGAAATTCCAACCCTCAAAGGAGCTGCTGGAACAGCAGCAGTTGCATGATGGTCCACCCAAT